CACACTACACACCAGACCCCCCTGCCCTCCACATCGCAGTGTCTAGGCTGGACATTGAGTACACAACAATCCACACACTAAACAACTGTACACACTACACACCAGAACCCCTTGTCCTCCACATCGCAGTGTCTGGGCTATTGCATTGAGCTTTTGTAGATAAGACTCATAGAGAAAACGCTCTGGATGTAGGATCCTGGGATCTGGACTTGGGGAAACTCTGCTCTGTACTGACATGTTCACTCCTCCCTCTCACCCGTAGCACGGCACGGACTCCGAACAGCCTCTGCGTTACTCCCACATCGACATCGCCGGCTCCTCCGGCCCTTTCCCAGGAATCCCGACCGGAGCGCCGATCCTGGCCATGGCCACACGCTACGTCCTGCCCTGCCTCTGAGTGTCTGTCGGAGCAGGGTGAATGACAAGACGTTTTTGCTGTTTGTACACGTAAACGGTTCGCAGAGCGTGTGTGTGTGTGTCCGGAGAAAAACTGGATCCTCAACACGATGCAATAAAAAGGCCTAAATGATGAAAGTGTTTTCTTGATTTATGTTGCGTGTTGCTGGTTTATCATCTAGCATTATTTTTCCAGTGTAAGCACTTGTCTAATGACTTCATTTACTGCAATTTACCGAGTTTACAAAAACAGAACAGCACTACACGTACAAGAGTAACACCGTGTAAATGCACCTAAAAAGGTCCGACTTGCCTTGAGTGTACACTTGACAGTGTACCTTAGTTCTGCAGGAACACAACTAACAGTTGCAATCGTGTGAGAGGGGTTGCAGTACTCCTACAGTCCTTTCTTATGCCATCAGTAAAATGTTTGAACTAGCTGCTGTTTTCCCTCTCCCGAACAATGCAACTCATTGGTGTAGTTTTCACACCAGTCTTCATCACTTTCCTTAACCAGTTGCGCCTGCTGTCGCGACGACCTCGTCTTCTCCGTCCACAGGTTTGAATTTCTCCCATCGGCGGCACAGTAAGTGGTATTAGTAGCTGAAGTTTCTTCTCTTCCAGTTGCTGCCCTCATCGGTGAGTCCCAGAAATCGGGGCTTGTTCCTTTAGGCCAGGCTTTTCTTAACCGCAAACTTCACACCTAGATGTGGAGATCCTTAACAACTGCTGTCCTGTTTCTGATCTCCTTTTCCTACCCAAGAGTCCTGAAAGGGAGGTGTCGGCTCAATTGCAATCTTCCGTGGCTGCCAGTGAGATCCTCAAACCTTTTCATCCAGGTTAAAGTAAATCGGTTGTTAAAGTAGTTAATTCATCATGGCTTGAACTTGGGGTCACTCCATAATCTTCTCCTGGTTTCAAGTGCTGCGTTTTGATACTGTCAATCGCTGCACCCCATGGGACAGCATGGGCAAACTCCATCAGACATTAAACCTTTCTTGTATCCACATTGTACTGGAAAGGACTACAACTAAGATCAATTTAATGGAAAAGACCAAGATGTTGCTCAGTGTAACTGTGACATGACTGAAATTATGTTCAATTTAATTGACAAGACTGAGATTATGCTCAATTTAACTGTGACAGATGGAGATTTATGCTGTTTGATTGAGAAGACTGAGATTATGCTCATAGGCTCTCCCAACATGAATTTTGCAGACCTGCTGACTTTGGCGGTGCTGTGGAAATTAAACCTCAGAGGGATGATGGTAACCTCCAAGTTCCTCTTTCCCCTGTGGTATCTTTTACTGCTCATCAGCCCAGGTTTGGAGCATCACGAGGGCATCTTCCTCCAGCAGAGCTGGGTGCCTGCAAAGCCCAGCGTCTTCTGAACAGTCGCTGTTGCACTGATGGTCTATCTCACGAGCTGCACAGCTGTGATACATCTAGCCAGGCTCAGAGGGGGGTATAGGTATCTGTACCTTCAGTGTAATCATAAAAGACTTCAAGAAAAATGAGGCATATGTCCAGCTCAGAAAATAATTAGGCTAATTGTTTGACTGCTCAGGTTGGAATACAATCTAGATGCCAGCACCCTCCAGAAACAGAGTTTGAGACTGTAGACCTTGCTGATCCTGGAATATTAATACATCTTTTAGTTCATTACTATTAGACTGCTGTGCTGATCCTCTCTCCCTTTCTCGTCTGTTTGTGTCTCACTTATTAACACTTGTTAAAAGTGGGTGTAAGGACAGGAATCCGAATGAAAAGAGTAGTCGCTGGTTTCAGGAAGACAATTTCTTTTGATATTTTTGTCCAGTTGTCAGAGGTTTGATGAAAAGCGCTCATTTAATTGATTAAAAAATATATTTTTTAGTTTTACCTATCACGGAATACTGTACCTTTGCTCTGCATCCCTGATTTTACATGAGAAAAATACTAATCAATCACCTTAAAAATCCTTTACTTTCAGTTCTTACACATTTTCTTTTCCAGCACTTTATGCCTATTCTAAATGTGGTCCAATGTGTTAACAGGCCATGTTTTTACCGCCTGACTCAACAAACTCCCTTGTGCGTTTCAGAACAAAAAAACATAAAAACAAATTAGCGCCCTTTTAAACTACACGGCACTTCCTCCAGGGGTCGAGTCGGATGGGAACCCAGTCTGCGAGGAGGCTCGCTGAAGTGAAGGGTAAACGCGGAAAAGCCAGAGCCAAAATGGCGGATACGGGTGGGCGGGCTGTCCCCGACCGTCTCCCCAGCGGTGATTGGCTGATCTCGGTGTCATTCCCAGTGATTTGCCGCGCTCGATTCTGGGTGCTTCGCCTCGTCGGCACGACCGACTGAGGACAACATCGCACTTCATAATGTGCTTGTTTGACCCTGGGTATATAGTTGACTACCTCTGATGAAAATCGCAGTGTTTTAGTCGTCTCTATGCTGCGCGCAAACCAAGGCACGCGCGTCTTAGCCAATCATCGCCTGGGTGACGGTCGGGGTTTCCCGGATGTGGGCGGAGGGGTTGTAGTGACGTCAGAGGAACAAGAATAAAACTCGGCGATTCCCGCCAGCTCGTCTTTGTATTTCAGTCGCCGGATTAGCAAGCATAGTTAGTGCTGCTGCGGTTATTTAGCCAGGAGTCAATAACTTTGAGCCTGACGCTTGAGGAACCTGCGTTTCCACCCATTTCTCTTTTTGCACGCCCACGCACACACAGGTCGTTCCTGCAACATGTTCGAGGCTCGGCTGGTCCAGGGCTCGATCCTGAAGAAGGTGCTGGAGGCCCTGAAGGACCTGATCACCGAGGCGTGCTGGGACATCAGCTCGTCCGGCATCTCGCTGCAGAGCATGGACTCCTCGCACGTCTCGCTGGTGCAGCTGACGCTGCGTAGCGACGGCTTCGACTCCTACCGCTGCGATCGCAACCTGGCCATGGGGGTGAACCTGAGCAGGTGAGCTGGGCTGGGCCGAGCCGGTCCCGGGAGGAGGTCTCGTCCGCGGGCAGCCCTCCCGCGCGCTGCTGTCCGACACCCGGGTTCGGATCTTGCGTATCTGATGCATTATTGTATTTTCCAAAGCGCCTGTTAACACGGGTTATAAAGTGCGCTGTCGATCGGCTCTTCTCATTGAGTTTTAGAGCGGTGAAGTCGTTGTAAATAATTACTGCGCGCCGTGGCGCAGAGGGAACTAGTTTTCGCGGGTGCTGGTCAGTAAAGTAGTAGTAGCCCATTCCCCCGTGACCCGGGTGTCTTGACGTTTCCCCGGACGGTGCTCTGTTCTTGGAGTAGTTGGCGCCGCGCCGGGCATGTCTGTACATGAGCGGATCTCCGGACTGGCGCTCCGTCACCTGACTGAACCGTTCTGGGAATTTGAAATGACTAAAATAACTTATATAATATACAGCGCTATTGATCTGTTGCGTTTGTTTTTTTTTTTCGAAATAGCAATCCAGGATGCGTTAAAGAATAATAAACGGTGCATCGCTGTTATAAGTTCATAAATGTTATCCCTGAGGTCTGTATTTCAGTTCCGGCTTTTTTAACTTGAGCACTCAGCCTGTAAATCACAGGGCGTGTAGATGCCCTGTTTTGCCCCTTTTAAGTTTGTGTCAAAGTGAACTCGGGCGCCTGGATGGTTTTTTTTTGTTGCTGCTCTGGCGCCACGAGTTGGGAAAACGGAATAGGAAATCAAAAGGCGGCATGGCTGCCCCTGCCCCGTGACGTCACTTCGGCGCCAAATTCGCAAACGGGGGTCTTGTTGGCGGGAAAGTACAATGTGCTCTGCGTGCAGGGAGAGACGCAGCCCTGTAGGTCTGAGCTTGATCAGCGTCTCACTTGTTCGAGTGAGTGTCAGTTTTTAACATTAAGATTCAGAAGATCGATGCCATAAAATACTATATGCGATTCTTCAGAGATTTGTGTGGCTTACAGGCAGCTAGATTTGCGCACAGAAACTTCCAGAAAACCGTACAAACAAACATTTCAAACGAATAGAACATTTCATAAGCAGACAGAGCCCGTAAATTTACTCCCCCTGCAATGGCGATGGACGCGTTGTAGATGATACATGAATAATGCACCTTCGCAGAACAGAGGCAGGTGTCCGACAGTTCGCTGTGCAGGGACAGATCACCCTGTGGGCGTCTCTGAGGGAGACGGCCAGGAGCAGCGGTTCAGTGTCCTGTCTCGGGATGAGAGAGATGTGGGCTCAGGTGGCATGTGGGGTGTTGATTTGGGACATCTCTCCGATGACCTGCTGCTAGTCACTGTAGGTGAGGATTTTTTTGGGCTGACTAGATTTTAAAATCCCCCTGATGGTCAATAAGGAGATGATCGGCGTCCCCAGACGTTGAAGAAGTTCAGGCGGGGAGCTGCGTCGGCATGGCTGGGCTGCAAAGCCGCAAGTCAAGGTTAGATAGATACTTTATTGATCCCGTGAGGGAAATTGCAGTGCAACAGCAGCTTAACACAGACTACACAGCCACAGTGTAACGAATTATATAATAATAGTACTATACATACAATACAATACAAGAGTTACTCACAGTCCGGACACACAAAGAACAAACTAGAACAGAACAGTACACAGAAAATCGTATCACACATATGAATATAAATATAGATATACATATAAATGTATTGCACAGGTCCCTGGCATATATTGCACAAAAAATGGTTGTAAACGGGGGAAAAGAAAGAGAACAGATGTAGCAGTAGATGCATTTAGTCCAGAAACTTCCTGTTGATTCCTGTGCTGAAAAGGAAAAGAGACGAGGGTCTGGCTGTGGAGCCTCATTCACCCTTCAGAAGGCTCCCGAGCCGAACTTGTCTCTTCCAGCGCGGAATAAACCCTTACCTCTTGCTTCGCTCCCGAACGTTTGCGAAGGGGCCCGTCTCTCCGGGATGTGGGGGTGGCGGAGAGTGGCAGCTTTGACCCGGCAGGTCTGGGGGGGCCGGACAGTTGCGGGGCCACTCAGGGACGCTCTCTCCTGTCGCTGCAGCATGTCGAAGATCCTGAAGTGCGCGGGGAACGAGGACATCATCACGCTGCGCGCGGAGGACAACGCCGACACGCTGGCCCTGGTGTTCGAGACGCTCAGTGAGTGGGTTGTGAGCTCGGGGTTGTGGAACTCCCTTACACAAAGGGGGGGTGGGAGTGTGGAACAGGCGATGGTTATCGGACAGGATCAGGTAGCCGCTGCTAACTAGTCCGAGCGGCCTCTTCCTGTTTTCGGCTTGTATCACCGGGCGGGGTTGTTGATGGGCTGTGCTCGGTGCTGTGATTTTGCTCCAGAGGCCAGTGGAGCTCACCCTGGGGCGCCAGGAGCTTGACTCTCCCTCTCGTCTCCTCTCCCCCCCAGATCAGGAGAAGGTGTCGGACTACGAGATGAAGCTGATGGACCTCGATGTGGAGCAGCTGGGGATCCCAGTAAGTGCCCCTTTCCTGAAGAGGGTCCCGGGCTCGTCGGTGGTCCTGTAGTCCAGGTCGGCGCCGAGGGAGCAGGTTTTTAACGATCCAGTGATTAGAACGCTAGACGGATCATTTAAATACAAGCCCGACCTATTTCCCCTATTTCTGCCTTGCTCTGTAAACATCTAGAGCATCCAGGTGATTTCGTGCACAGTACGATGTGAAAGACTGCTTCTAGGAGGGTCCTAGAGAGTCCCCTTGTCTAGCAGTGTGGTCCTTACCGGGTTTTCCGGTTCTGTGGTGGGATCCGGGAGCTCGATTTGTTACCGGCGGCGAGGCAGTCTTTCGGGAGGTCTGATGGCGCTCCGCTGTCCCGCAGGAGCAGGAATACAGCTGCGTGGTGAAGATGCCCTCGGGGGAGTTCGCCCGGATCTGCCGGGACCTGTCCCAGATCGGCGACGCCGTCATGATCTCCTGCGCCAAAGACGGCGTGAAGTTCTCGGCCAGCGGGGAGCTGGGCACCGGCAACATCAAGCTGTCCCAGACCAGCAACGTGGACAAGGAGGAGGAGGCAGTAAGTCGAATTGCTCGGGGTTCGACCACTGGCTTAGAGCCCGCCTGTGATACCCGCCTGACCCGAGTTCGTTTGATAATTTAATAATTATAATTGCTTACACTTATATAGCGCCTTCTGTGGACACTCCACCACCACCAGTGTGCAGCCCCACCTGGATGTTGCGACGGCAGCCATAGTGCGCCAGTACACTCACCACACATCAGCTATCAGTGGGGAGGAGAGCAGAGTGATGAAGCCAATTCATAGATGGGGATTATTAGGAGGCCATGATTGGTAAGGGCCAGGGGGAAATTTGGCCAGGATTCCGGGGTTACATCCCAACTCTTTATGAGAAACGCCCTGGGATTTTTAATAACCACAGAGAGTCAGGACCTCGGTTTTACATCTCATCCGAAGGACGGCGCCTGTTTACAGTATAGTGTCCCCGTCACTATACTGGGGCATTAAGACCCACATGGACCGCAGGGTGGGCGCCCCCTGCTGGCCCCACTAACACCTCTTCCAGCAGCAACCTTAGTTTTTCCCAGGAGGTCTCCCATCCAGGTACTGACCAGGCTCACACCTGCTGAGCTTCAGTGGGTTGCCAGTTGTGAGTTGTAGGGTGATATGGCTGCTGGCACAATTTAGCCAGGGCACCAGGGCTAATGCCTCTGCCCTTCTGATCAGTGACCTAGCGATCAGGACCTCGTTTACAGTCTCGTCCTGCAGCACCATGTTGTCACCACACTGAGATGCTTATATTGACCATCCTGGTGCGGTAGGAAAGAGCGCCCCCTGCAGGTCCACCCACCCCCACTGGCTGTGGCTTTCAAGTTCTCCCGTCTTTGTGCCATCTCCTGCTGCTCCACCCTCAGCCCATCTGTGTGTGTTCCCCCCACCCCCCTCCAGGTGACCATCGAGATGAACGAGCCCGTCCAGCTCATCTTCGCCCTCAACTACCTGAACTTCTTCACCAAGGCCACCCCCCTGTCCAAGACGGTCACCCTGAGCATGTCCGCGGACATCCCCCTGGGTAAGAGGCTCCTCCGTGATTGTTGCCCTGCGCCACCTGCTCGCCGCACGGCTCCGTCCTCTTTCCTTGGGCCCAGATCGCTGGCGGGGAAATAAGAGCCGCCAAAAAATTAAGGAACTGACTTCTCTGGATTTCGACGCCGGCCTCCGCGCGGTCTCGGATGTCCGCCGACGGGCCTTTTCCAGGGTGATCCGCCCGCGGGAAAGACGCGCGGGGGGCAGTCTGAGGCTTGAACGGCGTCTGGCCCCGGAGGCTTGGCGTGGGCAGCGGCTCTGCTCTGCTGGAGTCGGGTGGAGGTCCGGGTTGGCGGTTGCACAGGCCTCATGCGCTGTTGTAGTTGGCCTGCAGTCGTGTCCCACAATGCCAGGGGGGCGCTCCGGCGTGCGAGTGAGGTGGATGCTGGGGATTTTCACACTGGGGGGCGCCTGTTGGAGAAATAGGCTCACGGTCTCTCAGCCTCCTCAGTCTGTCGCGTTTGTCTTGCAGTGGTGGAGTACAAGATCGCCGACATGGGACACGTGAAGTATTACCTGGCCCCGAAGATCGACGAGGAGTCGTCTTAACGGGGCGCTGACTGGCGAGGCAGGGAGGGGGTGTGTGTGTGTGTGTGGGAGGGGTTCTTATCCCACTGTCTTGTGTGTGTGTGTGTCGGGGGGGAATGGGGATTCTGCCGAAGGGTCCCTCCCTCCCGTGTTGGGCTCCCGTCTGTCCATCTGCGGTTTGATCCTGGGTCAGTTCCTCTCGTTCCCCCCCCTTCCTGCAGCTTACCGACCCTCTGGTCCTCAGATCGACCGCTCCAGGCGCGAGAGGAGTTGTTCAAAGCCAGCGTTCCTGCGTGCTGGGGGCCGCTGCCAGGGAAGAGGGTGGGGTGAAGGGAGAAGAGGCGCTAACCTGGTAGCGCTTGTCTGTTTTCAATGAAAGCCTTGGGATACCATCAAGTGACTCCTGTCAAGCGTGCAGCAGTGATCTGCTTCCCCCAGACACTTCCTGTGTGGCTTGGAGGGCGGTTTCAGACGCTCGTTTTGCCGGAGGGACTAAGCCTGCCAATTCCAGTGGGAGCAGAAGAGGGGTGGTCCTGAATTAATGACTGGCTTCTCAGTATTTTGGCTGTGTGTGGTATCTGTTGACCCTTCTTGTCGTTTTCAGTCGTGGATGGAATGTGAAGTCACTTGTTTCCCAGCACTTAATGCATTTTTATACCTTAGGCTCCAGTAAACTATTTTAATGTATCCCACGTGGGAAATGAGTGGCTTGTATCTTTTAATGGGAACGTGACTAGTCCAAGGGGGGGTCTCGTGTTCTGTGGACCGACACCCTGAGTGTAGCAGGTCGGTTGCCTTTTCATTTTAAAACGGGGGTGTCCGGTCCTGGTCCTGGAGGGCCAGTGCATCTGTGTAAAGCAGCAGCTCTGAAGAGCCTGGAGGAGCTGGTGAACTGGCCCGGTTAAGCCAGTGGCGAGCTCCTCGCTAGCCGAGAGAGAGAATGAAACCCAGCAGAGAAGCTGGCCTTCCAGGCCTGGGATCGCACACCCCTGACTTTAATTCTGTGTTCTGCGATCCTGATCCCAGAGAGCCCCGTTCCAGCAGGCTCCGTGGGTCGCTGTTAAATCCCTTGTTTCTAAAGATTTGGGGAAAAGGTTTGTAATGATGTGTTAAATGAAGTAACCTAGCGATCACCTACAGTCGGAGCAAGATGTGGACCAGAGTCCTTCGGGACCGGTGTTCTCCTAATGAAACAGCGGCTGGATTAGCTCACAGGTGACCCCAGAGACTTGTCTGCACTGGGGCTGATCTGGGCCAGGGGAGGAGAGCTCTCTCTCTCTCTCTCTCGCTCTCTGGAGTAATTCCAGCACAGTGCGCAAGAGTTGTTTTTCCTCCCTTATCCTTAAAAAGTGGAGACTTGATCTGCTGCACTCTGTCCTGAGATGGGGGATCTTCCCCGGATCACAGACCCCAGTGGAATAAACATGAATTTTCTACCCCAAGCTGCAGGAGGTGGGAATCTCTCCGTTTTCTATCATTTCTGTTTAGCCCTGTTATGAATCCTCCTGTTTTTTTTTGTAGATATTTTTTCTGTAAATAAGTGTTTTGGGGGGGGATGACACCTGGTCATTTATACAACTTTAAGTTTTACTTTTTTTCCCCCCCAGACTCCTGTAATAAAAAGATTTAAAAGTGCCTGTTTGTCTTGATTGCTCTTGGCAGAACAGTATCATTGGCAGTTTCTTTCCTGCAGGGGGGTGGCAGGGCTTGGCCTAGTGTTGTAGGTCTTGACAGCTTTTGGTAGTGAGGTGCTCATAGTGTTTAGGAGTGGTACATTTAGGATGTGGATTATTGCTGAAGATGCAAGTTATCTGTTCAGCTGCCCATAATCTAATTTTCACCTTTTTCTGGCAGTCTGGTCTGACCCAGGGGAAGTATCAAAGAATTCATAAACTTTTTTTTAAACTGGTGCTACACTATGTGTATCATACTGTGATGTACACAAGTATTGCATGTTTTATAAAAGCACATAGTGCTTTTCTGGACACTCCAGTCAAAGCCCTGTACAGGAACTGGGGACTCCAGTATTAAGCTCCAGTCTGCTCACCACACACCAGCTGTCGGTGGGGAGGAGAATGGAACTTAATGTTGGCGTTTCATGCAGTAATAATTGCTTACACTTCTATAGCGCTTTTCTGGACACTCCACTCAAAGCACTTTACAGGTAATGGGGACTCCCCTCCACCGCCACCAATGTGCAGCCCCACCTGGATGATGCGACGGCAGCCATAGTGCGCCAGAACACTCACCACACATCAGCTCTCAGTGGGGAGGAGAGCAGAGTGATGAAGCCGATTCATGGAGGGGGATTATTGGGAGGCCATGATTGGTAAGGGCCAATGGGAAATTTGGCCAGGACACGGGTTCACCCCTACTCTTTTTGAGAAACACCCTGGGATTTTTAATGACCACAGAAGGATGGCGCCTGTTTTTTACAGTATAGAGTCCCCGTCACTATACTGGGGCATTGGGACTGCAGGGTGAGCGCCCCCTGCTGGCCCCACTAACACCTCTTCCAGCAGCAACCTTAGTTTTTCCCAGGAGGTCTCCCATCCAGGTACTGACCAGGCTCACACCTGCTGAGCTTCAGTGGGCTGCCAGTTGTGAGTTGCAGAGTGATATGGCTGCTGGCTATATCACTCAGTAGAATTCAAAGCAGTCAAAGATGGCAAAAACAAGCACTTAAAAACTAGATTTTGCTGGGTTTATGGAAAGCTGGCAATACCTTTCCTGCTTAAGCAATTATCTCTTGACAAGCAGGAGTGATATAAAAATGTGTCAAATAGCACGATGGTACAATGGAGATGTAGAACAGGTGGATGGTGACAGCCAGGACTGGAGCTCTGGCGTGTGTGCGGCCTTTCTTAATCTCTAAAGCAGCGGCAGCGCCCCGAGAGACTGGGAGATTTGTCCTAGTGAGCTGCAAACGAGCTCCTCAGGTCGAGCCGTGCCGGGCGGGAGTCCCTGCAGCCGATACTGCTGTGGATGGCCGAGACGCGCTGTCGCCACACGGGGGCGGTAGAGCAGAAGACACGAGCGGAAGGGGAGTCTGCTCCCCGCAGAGGGGTGGATGCAGGCGGGACTGGTGAGCACGGGCTGACTTTCACGTGTCGGAACCAACGGCTGAGCGAGGTAAGGACGGCTCTGCCAGTGTTCAACCTGGTCCGGTTTCTAGTCATTAGTGACCCGGTGACGCCTTCCTGCCTCGCTCCGGACAGAACCGGACCCGGCGTTTGAAGTGGTAGATGAATTCGGGTGCAAACGAGCGGGTTTCGTGTTCAACGACCTCAGCTCGGAGATAAAGTAGAGCCCATCACAAAAAGTAAGTGCACTAGACCCGTGGCTTGCTGATTTTACTGATAGGCTGGGTTTTGCAGTCATTTTAATTTAACTGAAACGACCCCAAGTGCTCTATATGTTTAATTTATCTTATTTGGGTTCGAGATGAGTGTGAACAGGCAGGAAACGTATTGGTTTAACCCGCAACGGGGCAGCTGTGGCCGAAACTGGACAAAATCTCCCTCTCCCTAGCCAAACTGATTCCATATTTATTGATCCATAAATTATGAAAAAACATTCTTAAAATATAAACAGCTCCTTTCAAAGGGGTGTAAAATTAGTCAAGAATTGTTCTCAATGTATTCAGCTAATAAAAAAGGTGGAAATCTGTATTGCCACGGACAGAGGAGAGTATCTATTGTGCAGATGAATAAGAAAATAATATGAAAATATTTATGTATAGGTGGTTGAGTATTTTAATGAATTAATGTTGTGTTTCTGTTCATAGTTCATAGTCACACGGGTAGTTTGCGGTGAGTCTCGCGCGGTGATACTGGCATCTCGCCGCCACGTGCGGCTCGCGCGCTTGTTTTCTTCCGGTCACCTGGCCGCTTGCTCTGGGAAGTTACCCGCGCCTGAGTTATCCTGGTGTTTCATCTAACCAAGGGGGGAAAATACCTTCCCGTTCACCTTGAATCGCAGAAACGCTCAACCCACTCCACTACGAGAGACGGCGAAATTCATGAAATTCGCGAGCGGAGAGGGAGAAAACAGCCCGTTCCTAAGAACGAGCGCTTCCGCGTGGAAAATGAATTTCCCTTCGCCCGTGTGTTCCTTTCCTCCCCTGTGCTCCTCGACCTTCCTTCACCCCTGAGCCCTGAGGCGCTGAGAGGTCGGGGGATGGACAGAGGGCTGGGCAGGAGAGGGAGAACACGGGACATTCTTCCCCCGTTTAGAAAATGTGATTCCCGAATTCCCATACCTTCCATAATCAGGTCAATTCCCACTCCTACTGGGAGAGGGGAGTGGGAAGGGGGAACTCGGTCGAACTGGCAGCCCAGTATATGATCTCCTGTCACAGCCTGAGGAGCAGTGAGCCCGTCTCCCAGTAACGCTCCATATGTCTGTATGCAGATGCATCATGATGTGCCTGTATTGTAAAGGTCTGCTCTGGAAGCACTGACTTTCATGGGTCATGCCAGTACAGCTTCTTGACTTGAGAAGGCGGTGCTGGGGGAAGGGGATTAGCACCCAGCTCTAATCCCTGGCTCTGGACATCTGGCTGCGCTGCGGAGGTGACCAGGCCTTGTGTAACAGTGCGGATTACTCCCTCCTCCACTCTGGGATGGACTGGCAGAGGCCTTCCTCGATAGCAGAGGTCAAGCTGTCTTGTGGCGGAGCCCCTGTGGGTGGGCGCTCGTGATTGAGGGGGGGCTCGAGCTCGCCCAACTTGGGGGGGGGGGGCGTGCAACAGCAGACGCCGGGCCGGGTGACACGCACACGCACGCGCGGGAAGAGTCGGCGCACAAAGCCTTCGAATTCAGGGTCTTTTTTCACTTCAAGACGCTTCATTGGCAGGACCAATGAGTAAGATCAGTGTTGCCAAAGCTGTACAAGCACAATGAACATGAAACACAAATCTAGGGCCATTTACAATAAAGACACATCCTAAAATATTTACATACAGTACGTATCGGGCCTTCCTGGGAGACAGGCTCGCTGTTCCTCGGGCTGTGACGGGCTGCCAGTTCAACCGAGTTCCCTCCCCCCTCTCCCAGTAGGAGTGGCCGTTGTTGTGATTCTGGCAGCTGTGGGGATTCTGGGATTAGATCTGTCCATCTTCTCTGGCCCGGATGAGTGACGGGAGGAGAGTGTGGGCGCTGGGCGGTCAGCCGTAGAGGTTGTGAGATTCGGCCGTATCGCCGGCGGAGACGGAGGGGCAGGCCCGTGGGCAGCTGGGGCGGTCCGCCGGCCCACGCCCTTGTGCCCCGCGTTGCACGGCGCGCTCCTCCCGCAGCTCCTCGTCGGGCTCGTGGCGTACAGCCCTTTCATTCGGCAGGGACAGGCCACAGAAGACACACAAATGCCAGTTCAAACATGCCCAGGCTTCAAGGTTGAAGTGCACGCAGTGTACAGTGTGTACAGTACTGTGTTCAGTGCAGTGTACAGTGTGTGTGCAGTGTATTGTGTGTTCAGTGCAGTGTACAATATGCTGTGTGTCGACAGTACTGTG